GCTGGCTTACACCGAAATTCGCTGACGATCCACCGACTGGGGGGTTCGGGGTTTATTACCCCCATGGGCTGGATTGGGAAAGTAATCACGGATGGGTTGTGGGGCTGTCCCGATAACGCTGACCGGTCTAACTAAGCTTGGTAGAGATCAGCAATGACGTCGACGGGCCGTTGAGCCTTGGGTTTAGGTTAATCTTGTTAATTTAATGTGTTTGAGAAGCTCGGTTTATCTCCCGCCGAGACCTGGTGTTTCGACCAGAGTAAGTTATTGGAGGAAGTATCATGAGGGAATTGATGCAAGTCTAAACGACAACAGGATCTTAGAGTTCGCCCCTGTAGCTTCTCTGACAGCACATTGGGCGGGAAGTTTCTGACTCATTACCATCTGACACCAACAGCAATGCATGGATGCAGCCACTGATTATCTCAAGCGTGCGTTGGAGAGCTACTTTGCCTCAGCCACTAGAGCTTTAAAATAAATCTAAATCACATATTGGACTATCGTTTTCCCTTTCTATTATGTCTTTGTGAGTCTTTTCTTCTGCTTATCCATTGCTTCCAGGTCATCTTCAGTGACTGGATTCCGAATATCGATAAAGACCCTTTCCACTTCACCCAGCACGAACTGCATTGGGTTGCAGTGTGTGTGATCAAGCCCATCAACCTTGCCAATGTCATGGATCACCAGCTGAGTCATCTTACGACGCAGTCCAACGATACTATCCATCACATCTTCTGCTTGGGGTAGGGGCCACAGACCCCCTCGCGCGAGACAAAACGTTATTGAACCCAGAATCATGGATTCGCAGCGATGCGGTCCCATCCACTCTGCATGTCGACACCAGCGGGGCTTCTCATCAACGACAAGTAAGTCATTGATGAGTTTTCTGATAATGTCTAGTAGTGCTTGAATGGTCGTGAGACGATTTGCAGATATTCGCTCTAAGACTGGATTAGTTACAGTCTTGAGGATATGGGTCAGAAACTCACCTAGAATGTCTGGCTGAATTTTCAGTTGGGGATCTTCGGAGCCATCCGATTCCATGAGCATTCTTCTTGCTATTCTGCAAAACGAGTCTTTCCGGCCAAGCTCCCATGCTATCCATAGGCTCTTACTCATCGAGACCTTTGACGCATTCGCGTCATCCTCCACCAAAGACATCCATCTTCCAACCCAGGGTTCCAGCATATGTGTGCCATCGTAGTAGTTTGACAACACCGTAAGGTCGTACAGGTCATCTATCGATGGCGTTCGGGGTACTTGATTGAATTGACCATGTGATATGTGTAGAAAGATGGACAACGCTTTTGGTTTGTCCTCGGGGAGTTCTATAACCCAGTCCTTACCATTTGTTGGTTCTGACTCCATGAACTGCCCGAAGAGCATGCAATTAAAGACTGGGGATGCTCTAGCTAAAGCCCTTGAACAGACTGTAAGGGTGATAGGGTCTATTTCTCCGACGCAGAGCTTGATATCACCACGTGGGTCAAACAGGATGTCTTTTGAAGACATTGTCAGTTTGATACACGCTGCTGCCAATTAAGAATAACCACGTTCAACACTAAGTCAAATTTATATAACAGTCATAGTAGGCCTCCTAGAAAGCATTTTCATTAAGCGAAACCTGAGCCTCAACTAAGAATAGATTTTTGCCAAGACAATTATCTGGGATAATTGCGTTCAAGTAATGGCCTCAGCCACGAAAACGGGCTAAAATACATAAACAAAATAGCTATAAATAGACAATACGAGAGTGGCTGAGGTGATTTTAGCCTTGAATAAATCTAAAGTTTCTACTTTTTGAAAAGTAAGCTTAATTAGAACAAGCAGTATAGAATGATTCCGAATGGTTGTAACTATTGTTTCATCCTCTTCTTTTACCTTGACTGTGGTAAAAAGTCGTCATTGACTCCACGCCACGTCGCGCACTGGAATTGATGGAGACAATACCCAGTTAAAGTCGGGGTCCAATCTGATCCGTGAGTCATTAACCGAGTACTGCCTAGCGCAGAAGCTTAGCCTCGACTCCAAAACAAGTCTTCGGAAAGCGGAGGAGCTCCTCCCTTAACAAGGAGTCATCTACTCCGTATATCGGTCTCGGTCTCGGTCTCGCTATCGCTTATCGTTATCGGAGCTTGGAAGTGTCAGTGGGTCCGTATGGCCTCACCCGTGGACCCGTTGGTGCTACTCCGTATAAACCTATCCACTAGCCAATCTGTCAAGATGGGTCCTTGGCATCACTTTGGGCAATTTTCCCCGGCCCTAAACCAAAATGAGCATTTACTCACCCATACTGGGCCTTTGCTATGATTCCGTTATCCAGATAGATATTGTAAGGCTAGCTGCACAAACCTATGGCTGATACAAACCATTGAGAATGCACAGGACTGGTTCCCTTAAGAGGCTCGGCATGTTATAAGTTCACAAAGACCGCCATTAATAGTAGGCCCTCGCTTGTTTGTATAATTACTCGTTGTTCATCAGTGACCAATTTGTTTATCCGTTCTTCTCCTTCAAGATGCCGTTCAAACTCGACCCCGAATATAATGCGATTTTGAAATCTCTTCTTGGCAACAGACCTACTCCCGCCCCCCCTTCCTGTGGGAGATGTCGAAGCCAGGCGCGCTCGAACGGAGCCAGGTATTGCTATTCTGGCCGGCCCTAATTTCCCTCTTGATCAGGTCACGACCAGAGACTTCTTTGCCGGAACATCGGCCGGCCAAAAGATCCTTCTGCGCTGGTACTCTTTGAACCACAAGTCTCCAAGCCCAGCGGTGATCTACGCTCATGGTGGCGGTATGACCTTGGGCAGTGTCAAGGCCTATGATAAAGTAGTGGCGGCATATGTCGCCCGCACGGGGGTGCCGTTTCTCGCAGTTGATTATCGCCTGACTCCGAAGCATCCCCATCCTATCCCCGTCAACGATGTTTATGCCGCTTTGAACTGGCTAGTCGCGCATTCTGAGGAACTTGGAGTAGATACCAGCCGCATTGGTGTTATGGGTGATAGCGCTGGTGGCGGCCTGGCTGTAGCAACGGCACTCCTTGCTCGACGGCAAGACGGACCCCGTATTGCGAAGCTCATTCTGCTATCTCCTATGCTTGATGATCGCACAGTATCAGCTGACGAGCACTTGACCCCGTCTCTGAGCTGGAACACCACGGATAACGAGACCGGCTGGCAGGCCTTGTTGGGCTGTAGTAGGGGCAGAGAGGTGGTGGCCGAAACAGCCGCGCCAGCACCCATGGTAGATGCCACGGGTATGCCGCCTCTGTATATCGAGGTGGGCGAGTTGGATGTCTTCAGAAACGAGCCGATTGAGCTTGCGACCAAGTTCTACAAGTCCGGTATCGGTGCAGAACTCCATGTGTATCCGGGATGTCCGCATGGATTTGACATTTTCCCTTCGAGAGAGACTGGAGTCTGCAAAAGGGCGTTTGATAACCGAGAACGAGCTATTAAGAGCATATATCCGGCAAATTCATAACTTATTCTATGTTGGACCATAGCTACAGTTATCGTTTATACACCAGTCATCAGCATAATGGCAATGCCATCTATTCACGGTGAGCCTTTCCGTTCATTTCATCGGCGATTTCCGTCACTAAACACTTCAACCTATTTCTTACTTCTCTACCTAGTCTAAACAACTCTGCTCTGTGCTTTAACACATCCATAGCCATCCTCGCCCCAACCACTTATATCCACAAATTTCTTACATGCTTTGCGAGGCGGTGTAATTTCAACTATGGAAGCTTCTCCATATGCTGAACTGCCCTGAAATAACTCAACTCCCCTTAGCTTCGGTCGCCAGTCACGCGCTGTTGATGTCATCTGCAGGAATGACATGATGATCGTCAACGGAGGAGGGCGTCAAGCTCGGATGCAGCAGCAATAGCCCTCTAGTGCTATGATATGATTCAAGGTCGCAGTTACTGGTGGGAATGTACTCAAACCACTTAACTGCATTAAGGTACTTGGGATTCTCAGGTTCCTAACTCCATAGTTAGTCATTGATGAAAGAGCTACTTTAGCACCACCGGGCTGATCGTCGGGACGCGGATCTTCGGCACAGATATTAGCGCATCTCAGCTGACGGTGCCCAATCATATGCTCCAGCAAGTATTCTACTGAGAAATAAGTCAAGGAACAAGCTTTCAATAGCTCCAAACCCCTTTGCGATAACGGTTAGGCCCTCTGGTTGTGATGATGTGGCTTCGGGAATCACGGCTACGATACGAGATAGGGGATGATTACCAGGGGACCGAGGGTCCTCCAGCTGTCGTAGGTGGCTCTATGCCTCCACTCTCAGCTGTCCCCTTGCTGGCTGCGTGTTTCCTATTCTTCAGAATATGGTTGTGCCATTATTTGGGACCACGGAGTCTTTACCGGTTGTTATTCAAAGCCTGGTTGTTCATGGGGTTGTCATTTAGTTCAACTGCATCAATCTCGAGAAGGGTTCAGCTGTTGGAATAGAAGGCATATGGTTGACTAGTCCCCTATTTTTGTGACCCCTGGCGTCACATTCCAGACAACCATATGCTTAAAGCCTAAGTGCTAGCAATGGCTAGTTGGCCCCATGTGTAATTGTGCATACATGATTTGCCACCAGTGACGACTGACCTTCGTTGAGATTTGAGAGCGATATCCCAAGATATGACGCAGCTGACACCTTTATCACTCGGGAGCCGCACAGTTCATTTGCTTTTTGACGTCATGCAGCAACTTGAGTCTATCTACAGCTCGATAGTTTGGATCTTTGAGCCGTCTGCTCAATGTATTACTATGAGGGTATTTCAACAGAGGTGACGAATGTGGCTGGTGAGTAGTGGACATGTGAAAGTTGACAAATCTGCTCAACCATGAAGACGTCAGAGAGGTATTCAGAGATAAAAGAATGCAGATTGTCAGCTTCTCAGCGCCAACACAGAACAGTCATAAGTTAACCACTCTTATCATACATTACCCACCTATCTATAAGCATCTTACATTGCCAACAATGACTCAGCTCACCAAGCTTCTCATTATTATGGCAGCCGCCAGCGCAACCTTCAGCGCCCCAACCATGAAACCTCGTCAGCTCGCGGGCGAAGGCAGCTTCTTCGACTCGGTCTTCACCGGCACCGATAACGGTGTCGGCTATGGTGTTGAAAACGCAGAAGACAACGCTGCCACTCTCATCGGGGGCAAAACTACCACTGCAGGTGGAGGCAGCACCAGCAACCCACCTCCACCACCACCAAAAGTCAAGAGACAGGCTGATAAGATTGCGAATGGCGCTTCTACTGATCTGCACGCCGTTGGACAAGACAAGGCTGCGGACCTTGTTCAGACTGATGGAGATGATATTGATGGGCAGCTGACCCAGGATGCGGGTACTCTTGGAGCTCAGGTTGGAGGAGATGAGGAGGATGTTCTTGAGCGCACGGGCGATATGGTTCCCAGTAAGATGCCCACTCGCCGTGCTCGGGTCATTTATTATTAAGCCTCAATCCCAGTCTGCGCTGTGTGGAGATATCAGTGCTTGAGCAGTTTATTCGGGAGTGACACTGAGGAGAGGGACAAGTGAGTTATTGGTTTATGTATCCTTTAAGCAAGCTAGGAGTAGGAAAGTATATAAAATATAATACTAATTATAATTTAGAGAGCGTTAAATACACTTAGTATTATAGTTTATATTAAAATATAAGCAAATTGATAACCAGGTCATCTTTTATTTAAATTTAAGATAGCTAGCTAAATTGGCCTATTTAAATGCCCTGTATAAGCCAACTAGGAGTTATTCGACTTCCTAAACCTGTTACCAAGTATTAGGTGCAATAACAGTATATTTCCTCCAGCCGCCATTCTCTCGCGCAAATGAAGTTGCATCATTATGCTCATCAAGAGTAAATACTCTAATTTCGCTGCCGCTCTCTCTCCCAACTCTTAGCTGGCCACCCTCAATCATCCTAATCAGCTGCAATATGGTCGACCGCCCACACATCCACTTGCCTTGCAACTTCAAATTCCTAAAGACAAGCGCTGCATAAGGGACTGTCAACGTCTCGCTAGCTCCGCCACTAAGGATCACCCGGCCTTCAGGCTTCAAGGCGCACAGAGCGGCGTTGAGGAAGGGCGGGTTCTTCAGCTCGCCAGGCGACCAGTCGTTATACACCTCGGCACCGGCGCCTTTAGGAGTTGTTGCCAGGATTGAAGCCGCATCGGTAGCCCTATCACCTGTCATGACCACTGTCTTGAGGCGCGGATTATGGTTGAGCTTTCTTTGCATTTCTGCTAGCTTACTCGTACTGCGGCCAAGAGCAACAACATTGCAGCCGATAGTAAGGGCGATCTCGACGGCCAGACCGCCAAAGTTGCCGCCTGATGGCCCCACGATGACGGTTTCACCGGCTTTGAGATCAGCACACTCGAGTAACGAGCCGGCGGGCACACAGTAGTACGCAATAGAGAGCAGCTCAGCAGGGTCATAGCCCAGCTCGCCAATAAGGCGGTGCTCGTCCAAGGGGTAGATGTTTTCGAGTGGAACTTTCTGGTACTGCTGCGACTAGCCGTCTCGCCACGCCTTCATAAGCTTCTGGCCTACATTGCCTGCACCGCCTAGGTGCCTGATTATGATCATGACGTTGTCGGGATCATCGCGGGCGCGGGCGGTGGAGTCGACATAGACGAGATCGCCAGGCTTAGCAAGTACGGCGTCTGGGCCAACGGCGTGGATGCGTCCAATGGCGTTGGCATTTGGGACATAGGGTGGCTGGGCATTCATCTGCGGAAGCTGGCCGATGTGACGCAGTTGGGTATAGGGAGCAATAGGCGCTGCAAGGATTTTGACTATAACTGTACCCATAGTAGCCTCTCAGATAGTAACTCTATAATTTCAAGGGGCTTTGAGTATGTGGAGAGCCAGAGGGCGAGGTTTACTTCCAGAGAACTCATCTTTAGTATTTCTTGGTAGATATTGGTTCAGACAAGAGAATTAAACCTGGATTGTATAAAAAGAAGAACAAGCGTCATCTGGATACAAATGGGACGTCCTGTATTTAACAAGATAGCAATATGGTTTTAGAAGAACTATAATTTATAAGGGTTTATAAAAGTCCCCCAGACATAAATCGGACCACCGTAAGAGGCCACAAATAGACCGAGCCACCGCATCAACTGATGAAATCAACAAGATGTCAGATCCTCATTTGCATCCTGGCCAATTGCAAAGTTGTAAGCAGGCTAGCATGTATTCACCGAATTTCATCAGTTGATGTCGTATGACTCTTTCGGCTAGAGTGCCTTATACAAGCCTGCTGCCAAGGTGTAAAACACCGGGGCCATACTGTCTAACGTGGGTCATCGGTTAATCAATGCCGCCCGAAAGGCCGCTTACATAAGTGAGTTAGTCATTTATGTATTCTTGAAGCAAGCTAGGAGTAGCAAAGTACTTATATACTAACATAACTCGTAATCCATCGTTGCACTCGGCATTGGCATGCACTAGATCTCGGGATCTGCAGTTAACTACCCGCTAATGGATTGAAACGCGGGGAACTTGCCTACTTCCCGACCTGATTTCCCGAAATTCCAATATATGGGGACGGTGAAGAACGGACGGTGTATCACCATGACCCCCTCTTCAAGTTTTGCATACTTAAAGGGCGGGTGGTCGCTGGTCTCGTGCGCCTACGCGGTCTAGGTCATCATTTCTTACCTAGATCTCGGCAGCAAAATGAATTTCTACCTCGTTGCAATCCCATTGGTGTCGCTGCTCCTCCTCAAAGCAGTCTTGACCCTCTTTTGGCATTTGCGCTCAAGTCTGAGGTCCGTTCAAGGCCCTGGTGCCGCTCGATGGACACTCGGTTGGTATACCTGGAAGGTTTGGCAAGGTGCTTTTGAGCATGTTAACCGCGACTTACACAAGAAATACGGTATATAAGCGTGTCCCCTTGCGTTATTTCGTCGTCATTAACGCCTCAGGCTCTGTCGTTCGCTATGCACCCAGCCGCTACAGCTTCAGTGACCTCGAGGCAGTCAAAGTCATTTACGGTCTGGGTACTTCGTTCCCCAAGTCCCCGTGGTACATACCTTGGGGCAATCCTGGAGATAACAATCTGTTCAACGAGACGTCCTCGGCCAAGCATGCACACGATCGGAAGCAATATCAGTCCACTTACTCCATGTCTTCCTCGTCAACTACGAAGCATTTGTCGACGAGTGTGCTGAGCTGTTGAAGAGACGCCTGTCAGAACTCTGTGCGGCAGGCCAAGCTGTCGACATGCATCATTGGCTCCAATGTTATGCTTTCGACGTGATTGGTATGATCACATATGGAAAGCGTCTGGGCTTCCTCGATAAAGGAGAGGATGTGGGAAATGTCATCCACGCCTTGGGAGAGATACTGAGTTACTCAACATTGGTTGGCATCATTTTTCCTACCCTCCACAACATCTTTGTTCCGATTATGAACTTTCTTGCAGGGAGTAAAGGACAAGGAGGAGCTTATGTCACGGCATTCACAAAGGCGAGGATCAGCGAAGCGCAGTCAAATCCCAAAGCTGTGATCCTGGACGACAGCGACACCTCAACACAGTCTTTTTTGATGAAATTCCTTGCCAAGAATACTTCAAAGCCAGATGATTTCACCTCGTCTCATGTCATAACCGGATGTGTTATTAACATGATCGCGGGATCTGACACAACTAGCATTAGCCTCTCAGCCGTGTTGTACTATCTTCTCAAGAACCCCTCATGCATGGACAAGCTACGAGAAGAAGTTGACACGTTCACTGCCAACGGCCAGTTATCGACTTATGTCACTTATAAAGAGAGCCAGGCAATGCCGTACCTGCAGGCGGTCATTAAGGAAGCCTTGCGGTTACATCCAGCCACTGGACTACCCCTTGAGCGTGTAGTGCCGAAAGGTGGCGCAACCATTTCAGGTCGTTTCTTCCCGGAGGGGACTATCGTCGGAATCAATACCTGGGTTGCGCACATGGACCGCAGCATCTTTGGACAGGATGCAGATTCATTTTCGCCCGAGAGATGGCTGCAAGATGACGACGAGCGGGTAGCGTTGATGAACCGCTTCTGGATGCCTGTAAGTTTGCCCTTCGTTATCTGCAAGCAACTTCGGTTTGTGGCAGACCGATCTTGGTGTTTGTGTTTTATAATGGACGTTCCACTAACATAATGTTTTTACAGTTTGGTCTTGGCTCTCGCACCTGCATCGGCCGGCATATTTCCATGCTTGAAATGTGCAAACTCATTCCTGCTTTGGTTCGAGACTTTGAGTTTGTTTTGCATGATAATCTACTCCAAAACGAATGGAAAACACTGAATTACTGGTTTGTAAAGCCGCTTGATTTCAACGTCTGGGTAAAACCAAGGACGAGTGCAGGGTAAAATGGCTGGATGGTACATAACATTATGCAGACTCTGCATAAGGTATGCTTGGTTAATGCAGACTAGTCCGTCTTTGTCTCATCACCCCCGCTCCTTGATCGGAGATTGATTAGCCCCATGGGGAAATGCTCGGAATCCTGTCAATGACTGCAGCATCACAAGGACAATTATTGTATTTAAACCCGAATCGAATGCTTTCTGTTGAAAGCCTGTAATCATCTTCAAGACTCGTCTCTTTCTTCCTCTGTCACTGTGTATAGCGTCCATTGCATCTTCACAATGACTCTACTTCAGGCAACAACACCAGCTCCCAAAGCCGACCGTATGTTTCCCAGCTTATCTTCTTTATCAGCACTGACAATCTCAGCAATCGTCGTGGACGGCACGTCATTTGCCCTCAACGGCAAAAATGTCTCGTACCGCTTTCACGTCGATCCAGCGACTGGAGATCTTCTGCTCGATCACTTCGGCGATCGCGTGACAGAAAATCCCATTGCTCAGATCATGTCCAACGGCGGAGGCTGGTCAACTCAAGCCCATCTCCGCCGTGAATTCCCAGATCTTGGTCGTGGAGATTTCCGCACGCCAGCTGTACACATCAAGCACGCCAAGGGCTTCACAGTTTGCAACTTCAAGTACAAATCTCACACAGTCGTAAAGGGTAAACCTGCGATTGAGAAACTGCCCAGCACATTTGGCTCAGATGACGATGTTTCAACACTGATTATACATCTCTACGATGAGTATAGCTCTGTCGGCGCAGACTTGTCATACTCAATCTTTCCCACTTTTGATGCTATTGTACGGAACGTCAAGATTATCAACCAGAGCGATGATGTCATTACTGTTGAGAAGCTGTCCAGCTTCAGCGTCGACTTTCCTCACGAGAATTACGAGATGCTTCAGTTGCAGGGCGAGTGGACTAGAGAATGCAACAGAACTCGCCGAAAGATTGAGTATGGACTGCAAGGGTATGTTATAGTGTTAAATCAGAGTTCTCACGGCTAATACTGGTGCAGATTCGGAAGTACTACTGGCTACTCATCTCACTACCATAACCCATTCTTGTCAATGGTGTCCCCATCCACAACCGAGTCCCACGGTGAAGCCTGGGGCTTCTCTCTCGTCTACACGGGCTCCTTCAGCGTCGAAGTTGAGAAGAGTCATCAGGGACTTACTCGTGCGCTCGTCGGAATGAACCCATGCCAACTCTCCTGGCCCTTGAGACCAGGCGAGTCACTGCAATCACCAGAATGCGTTTCCGTCTTTTCCAACCTCGGCATTGGCGAGATGTCACGAAAGTTCCATCGTCTGTATCGCCAGAACCTCATCCGAAGCAAGTTTGTCTCTGAAACGAGACCTGTGTTGTTAAATAGTTGGGAAGGTCTCTATTTTGACTTTGACGATAAGACCATCTACAAACTGGCGCAAGAGTCTGCAAAGCTGGGTGCCAAGCTCTTTGTGCTTGACGATGGATGGTTTGGCGACAAGCATCCTCGTATCAATGACCATGCCGGACTGGGCGACTGGGTTGCAAACCCCAAGAGGTTCCCCAGTGGCTTGGACTCTCTTGCCAAGGACATCACCAAGTTGCAGGTTAAGGACTCAGATGAGAAGCTGCAGTTTGGCCTGTGGTTCGAACCTGAGATGGTCAATCAGAAGTCTGAGCTATATGAGCAGCATCCTGAATGGGTTTTGAGTGCTGGAGACCACGCTCGCAGCGAAACTCGCCAGCAGCTGGTCTTGAACGCGGCCCTCCCAGAAGTGCAGGACTTTATCATCAAATCAGTGTCCAAGATCCTAGAGACTGTACCCGTCAGCTATGTCAAGTGGGACAACAACCGAGCGATGCACGAAAGCCCTACGCCAGATAACCACCACGCATACATGCTCGGTATCTACCATGTTTTTGACGTGCTAACTACCAGATTTCCCGATGTCCTTTGGGAGGGTTGCGCGTCGGGTGGCGGTCGCTTTGATCCTGGTATCTTGCAATACTTCCCGCAGGTTTGGACATCAGATAACATGGACGCTTTCGACCGCATTCACATTCAGTTTGGTACATCATTGGTCTACCCGCCTTCGACGATGGGTGCACATGTCTGCTCTGCACCAAATGATGTGACTGGCCGCTCAATCCCAATGAGCTTCAGAGCTCACGTCGCCATGATGGGCGGTTCATTCGGCTTTGAGCTGAACCCTGACCATACGCCCGAGGAAGACAAGGCACAGATCCCAGATCTTATCAAGCTCGCAGAGAAGATCAACCCCATCATCATCAAGGGAGACATGTGGCGGTTGGTGTTGCCCGAGGACTCCAACTTCCCCGCGGCCATCTTTGTATCCGAGGATGGGAGCCAAGCTGTCTTGTTCGCATTCCAGATCAGAGCCACAACTGTTCTTAACTATCCGCTGCTTCGACTCGCTGGACTTGACCCAATTGCGAGGTATAAGATTGATGGCGGAGAGACGTACTCGGGCGCGACATTAATGAATGGAGGAATTCAATTTCGATTTGGTACAGATTATGATAGCAAGGTTGTTCTGCTAGAGAGGGCATAAATGAGTCAGACAAAACGTTATGTAAGGATATCCAGGTCCCCAAATGGTTGACGCACAATGGAAAACTCCCAGCACAAACATTTAGATAGATTGTCAACATGAAGAACACTTTTCCAGATCAGTTGAAAGATAGTCCAATCTCGGGATCAAATTGCCCACACGATATCGTCGCATCCTCCCAAGTCGTTGTCACCACGGGCGTACTCAAGTCCAGCAGATCGAGATTTCCATCTGGAACCCAACCCAACGGATCCACAGGTTGTTCATCTTCGGGTGATAATTCCTCAACAATTGCTAGCCTCTCATCATTCCCTGCATCTTGCATATCCCATTGGAGATCGAGATGCGCGTTGGGATCTGCAAGAGTGAATAATGTCTCCGAGTGCTTGAGAAGATTGGGCAATAAGTGAGATTGAGCCCCTCGAACGGCTGATAGAGCATGAATCACGACGGAGAGTAAGTCACGAGGACCGTTCTCAAGTGCAGAATATGTCCAGCCGGGGAGTTGAGCGGTATCTGCGAGACTGACGCCGACGTCAAAGAGCTTTTGTTCCTGGAAAAGAGTCAGTCAGTATTCTTTTCATGGACAGTCGGAAACTCCGGTGAGTCTTACCATCCCAATGCCATGACAGTCTTTCGACTTGGTCCCAACTGACCCCAAGGCCGACATGATGATCTTTCCTGCATCCATTGGAAGCGAGGGCGGAAGAAGTAGCCCAAAGCCAGACGCCGACGATGGATTCTGACCAAAGGCGATCCTCCACATGGATATCCGAAGCCATTGTTGAGTGATGAGAGTATCGAACCGTTGACTCTCAATAATGGACTGGTCTGGCTGTACGCTGCAAAGCTTCTCGTTGATGGTATGCACAAGCTTCAAGTCGTCGAAACGTTGATCGTCACCCTCGGGCTGCCATTCGTACAGAGAATATGGAAGCGATTCGAATAGGCGAATGTGATTTATAAAATCGTGCATCACTACCGGGCAATTCGAGTCGACGATCTGAGGCTTGTTGACTGTGCTTCGGAGCATGACAGATCTTCTGTGCTGGAGGGCAAAAGTTCTGGAACGCTTTAGTCTTGAGGGTAAAGTATGCGTGGACGGGCTCACCTTTCTGTAACAAAGAGAAGCCAAAAGACGCGCCGTCTCTTCTCGCGTTGCTCAGCAGGTAGACCATAGTAGCCAGACTCTTTTGTGAGGTCAAGTGACTGCGCGAGGGTGATGCTCTGGTTGAGATAGAACCAGGCGTGACGCGGATCGTTGAGATTCCCATAGCTTGCAAATAGGAAGAAGGAAACGAGTACTGAGTCGAGGGTGGTATCATCTATCACGCTGTATTGTCGGAGTGAGTTCTCGGCAAGATTGACGAGCATGTCCCCTGTCAAGCGTGGCTCGGATGGGATCTCAGCATTAAGATCATTCTCGCAGTTGTCGATCCGCTTGTCCAGTCGGAGTTGCATTCTTGTTGCAGCACATATTGCAAGGATGAGAGCGTATCTCGATGGAGGGAGGTCGTCTAGTCGAGCTGCATCGGCGAGGATGTCATCGTCGACGACTGGCATAATAGGGTAGAGAAATCTCTGGAAGAGTCGTATGTGAGCAACGAGTGACAGAGACATGCGTTTGCAGAGGTCTCCAGTGTTGATAGTCGCGCCATCGGGTGGTGTTGTCGAACCTGATTCCGGTTCTGGCTCTGGTTGTGAAACAGGGTCGATGTTTGTTGGTGGAGATGAGAATGACTGAGCGTTGAGTTGAGCGTCTGTTGGGGCATCTTGATGGCTGTTGGCGTTGGTGTTGGCGTTGGTGGTTGTACCAGGCGGCGCTTCAGAGGTGAGTATCTGGAACTGATACTCATCAATGCCCAGACCCTGTCTCAGCTGCGTCTGTCGTCTCCCTTGGCCCTGCTTTGGGCCCTTCCTCCGAATGCTGTGGCGATACTGGCATCGGAGGTCTCCGATGTGACAGTTCTTACAGGGCAGGCCGCGATCACACTTGACCTTGCGGAATCGGCAGTTGTCACAGACCTGGCCGCGCTTTACCGGGATAGTCGCCATGTTGCTCTAGGTCCGGGGCTGTTGAATGCTTAATGGAGATATAGTCGGCAGATCCAATTCTTTTGCCAGCGTCATTTCTCGTGACTCTCGGTCCGATATATCAAGCGATGAGGGGTATCCACCAGAAACTGACCATTCTCGAGGTCACGATGGGCCCCGGGCTAAGCATTCTTCAAGTGAGGGGCTATGCCGAAAGGGGAAATGTTCGGACTGTAACATCAACCCCCATGGGGCGGTTTTCGGTTCCCCATGGGGACTTGGGAACAAAAGCGATTGGGATAGACACGCGAGGAGGATTCAATTGCTCCAGTATATAACCTCAAGATGCGTTGCTGATCAATTCGAGATCTACTCCATCAGACACTCACCAGCTCATTCCTCTA